TGACTTTGTATAAAAAAAAAGAACACCGCTTGGGGGGGGGGAAAGCCCTACTAAGCAGGTATATACAAAAGTATGAAGGCTATTGCTTAACGCATTGTAAGCCGCCCTGAGTCTCCGGAGAAGGGCAGCATATAAATCGAACCAATAAATAAATAAAATGATGATGATGATGATGATGATGATGATGATGATGATGATGATGATATGCATGCCTACACACCTTCACACCCTATTAGTTCACAACAGCCTCACAACAGCCTCAGTTTCTCATCTGGCCCCTTGGGATAATTTAATGCCACCTCCAATATAGAAAATTATCCAACCTGATGCAGATTTTCACAAATGGCCAGAAGCAATGGAAACTCGTATTAAAACGGGAACCAGAGGGTCTGAAAAACCCAGGGGTAGGTTTTGCCTCCACATTTATACCAGCAACATTACCACAGCCCCCCAATAATTTCACACACAAGTTCAGAAGTATCTCCGCATGTTCTTCCTCTAATGTGATATATGCCCTCATCTGCCAGCGATTCCCCTGTAGATTCTTCAAAGGACAAATGGGATAGGCTTTGCACAAAATAATTTAGTGGCACAAGCTTGACATCAGTACTCAAGACAAGGACAAAATAATATCAAGGGACTTTAACTTCCAAGGTTGTTCCAATACAGAGCTCAATGTAGTCATTTGGTGAAAGGAGGGGTGCGGTGGGGTGGCGTGGGGAGAGAAACCTGCTTACTAGCACAATTGAGCAAGAGATTGCTGAATTCAATGCATCAAAAAGTTTCATGGTATCTCAGAAGGTCTCAGTAAACACAAAGCATTTTTGAGTAATTGTTAGTTGACAAGGTACTTGTAATCTGTCTCACATATACCATGCATTTGCATAACTATCCTGTCCTTCCCTCCTTTTCCCTTCTATTTCATGCTAATTTAAATCCTGTAACACCCTGTGCAACTGATAAAATGAACTGTAGCTCACAAAAGTTCATAGTCTTTAATAAAAATTGTTAAACAGGAAATGGCTACCAGACTCCTTCTAATCAATAGATCATGTATCATTGGCAGATTGCTGTCTATCTTGTTTGTGAAAGGGCTTTATTCATAACAAATAACATCAACACAGACATCTTATGTTTTTTATCTACATTCCTCCCCCTCCCCGTTTTCCCCCCTATTCTTTTCTTAGTGAACTTCAATAAACCTGAAGGCTGGTACTCATTTTTAACTTTTTTGAAGTCAAATTCAAATTGCTCCTAGGAGTCAAGTCATCTTTGTTTCAGCTTAATTACTCTTGGCAGACTTCTCAGCTTTTTAGACATAAACTTTAGGAACTCTCTTTGGAAAGCTACATTGTCATGTAGCCACAATGTCTTAAGCAGGGGAAAAAAAATCTTCCTAATATATTAAACTGTCTAATTTAAAAGATGTAAACATCCGCATTAATAAATATTATAATATTTAAATTATGTTTCATAGGAACAGAATTATCTATAAAAATGGATCATACCACTACAGGCATATTTCTACTCCAGGTTGGCTAACTGAAAGTCTGTGGGATTTTACAAAACCCCCCTTCGCTGGCCAAATTTAAGATCAGCTCTCGCATGAGTGATAGGCCAACCGCTTTATTGACAAACTGTCCAGTGATGTTGGCAGAACATTGCATTGTTTGAGTTGTTCTGTTGGCAAAGAAAAGGCAGTGAAGAGGACAAAAGAGGTTGGCATTAGAAATGGGGCATAGTTGCCACAAACATGGAACAGACTCCCCCCCCATCCCCCTGAGTCATATTTACAGTCTGTTATTTCTCACAATGTCTAGGAAATGTTCTGGACTCAACTTCCCCCTCTCACTGAAATACATAGGAAAAAAAGGGAGGGGGGTTACAAAAAAAGGGGGAGGGTTAAAACTTAATAGTACTCAACATGCTGGTCCTATCACAGATTGGTTTCCTGCCTCCTAAGCTCCACCTGAAAGCTATACAGTCGTGCAATTTTGTAGTTTGGAAATTTAATGATGCTTCCCTTATAGCAATAGCACTTAGCAATATACCACTTCCCAATACTTTACTGCCCTCTCTAAGCAGTTTACAGAGTCAGCATATTGCCCCCAAGAATCTGGGTCTTCATTTTATCAACCTTGGAAGGATGGAAGGCTGAGTCAAACTTGAGCCAGTTGGGATCGAACTCCTGGCAGCGGGAAGAGTTTGCCTGCAATATACTGCATTCCAACCACTGTACTATCATGGCTCTCCTATCACAACTTTCTCAATTTCTCTGCTAATATGAAACCTCTAAGTAAAAAGGCAACAATTTAGATTATAAATCCCCACATAAATTTAAACTTCAAAAAAGTTCCTCTCTTTCTTCTGTTCTTCTGTCACACACAAATACACACACAGAAAATATCCGGTGAAGACTGTACTGTGGTTAGATGGTATTTGCAGCCATAATTTCAGTATGACAGTAGTCATTTGTCCAACTGGCTCACAATTATGAGGTCATAGCGATTGTAGTCTGTAACTTTAATGGCCAGCTTCCAGCAAACGAAGTAAAAGGGGAAGTCAGTAGGAAGTTGTCAATGGCAATCACATGACCCCAGGACTCTGCAACCAAGTTGGATTTGTCTAATAAGAGCATCTGGGTCTGTTGGATGTGCCATTGAAAGTCATTGTCACCTAGCAATAGGGTTCCCAGTTCGAGTTGCCATTGGTAAGCGAACACTACCTGTAGTATATTGTTAAATTGAAGAAGTAGCAAAAACATTTTTATATGCTTACTTTTTGAGAGTTCAATGCTTAGCATTATTGAATCTATTACAGTTGAATGGGACAACTTCTGAGGCCATCTTGCCACAGCCATCTGGCCGTCTTGCTGTGGGACAGTTTGCTGTGGAACAATGCCTTGCGGGATGACTCAACATGATAGATATTATTAGCCACTGTATCTTTGACATTATTTCCATTGACAAAAATGGAAATAAAGTAAAAAACAAACAAACCAGTGGCAGATAACATTCATTGTGTTGATTATCCCGCAAGGCATTGTCTGAGGCAAGTTGGCCTGTAGTAAGTTGGCCACAGCGAGCTGTCCCGCAGCAAATTGGCTATGATGAGGTGGCTGTGGGGAGTTGTCCTAAATCCCTATACAGATGTTCCAAAATAAAGGCATAATTACTTTTAATACTAGTATAGAAAATCAGTGGATCTTATATTAGGTTTTTCTTGACATCTGAAGTTAAAATACATAGCAACGATACAATAATTTCCGAACATTGTCAGAGTTATAGTCCTATTTAACAGTAATTTAAATGCATTTAGTCTGGTATCAGAATGTATCCTTTCTTAATGACAAAAATATTCCAAACATGGAACAAAGGATAAGAGAAACCTGCTTTGTATTAACAGGAAGCATGCCTTTTTTGGCATGGAATGTTGCAATAACATTCATCCAGTATTTGGATATGTTTCTTATATAAAGAGGACGCCATTTTTAAAGTTAAATCACTATAGGAGGAAATTAATTTGTATACACTCCACCTATAGGGCCCACTACTTTCTGCTAAAGAGGAAGCCAGAAAGCATTCTAGGTCTGAACTAGAATTTTGATCTCATGGTGATGTCTAGTGAGCTATTGGCCTTTAGACTTAAATTATGTAATGGAATAATTTCAATTCACGCTACAGTATTGTGATTTGAGATCTGTTAATTCAGATATTCTTGAATGCTTTTCCAGTGTCAATGGTTCCAGTTTCTCTAATGATGACAGAGACCCTATTCTTCAGAATGCAAAGCTAAGCGATAACGTGAGTAACTTTCTCCTAGACTTGCAAAAACATTAGATCCGAAGTCCTTGGCAAATGGACCATTTATTTGTACCAATGGTTTAAAATTCCTTTGATGATCTGGAGTAATATAATTCTGAGTAAGTGCCATTTTCAAAGGCACTCCTAGTCACACTGCTTCACATTATTTCAAGCAAATTTATGTATTGCTTCATAGCTTTCTAGGCAGGATTGTCCTTCAAGATTTTCATTGCATAAATTTAGTGCATAATCTTTTCTAATTATATTAATAGAAAATATTTAATTTTCTATGCATTCAGGCTTATCATTGGGTATCTACTTTGGTTTCAATTACTGCTTGGGACAAGAAATGTCAGCTTCTATATGGATTTAACTTAAAAACTGAAATCCTGTCAATTATTAAGATCTTTGTATCATTGTTTCTATGGTATCATTTTCAATACTGGCATGTACACTGCAAGATTCACTTATTTATTTTGATTGATTTAGATAATAGTAGAGTTTGATGGGGGCTGGGCAATGGCTCAACAGTTAAAAGACACTGAGCTGGTCATCTGGGAAGCTGACAGCCTGGGTTCAAGACCTGGGTGCCACGTGATGGGGTGAGCTCCCATTACTTGCCCCAGCTTCTGCCAACCTAGCAGTTTGAAAGCATGCAAATGCAAGTAGATAAACAGGTACCACTTTGGTGGGAAGGTAACAGTGTTCCGTGCACCTCGGCGTATAGTCATGCTGGCCACATGATCATGGAAATGTCTTTGGAAAATACTGGCTTCTTTGGCTAAATGTATGCCTGGGGGTTTGTGTCAGAGGGTTAGAAAGGCTGGAGAGCAGATAGACTTTCTTGATTCTAAATTCCTGGATCTTGTTAGCCATCCGACCATGCCGATCTCTGACATCATTTCTTTGAATTCCTGTCATCCAAAGATCATCTCTCGCTCTGTCTCCACCATATCTAATCAAAATTGAGAAATGAAAGTTGTGGGTTGCAAAACATTTGCCAACATACTAGACCTTCAGACTGTAATTATATCTCAACTTTTGTAACAGTTGCAAAAGATTGTGCATGACTTCCTATGACATTTATTTACCCAGCAGTATCAGGATCTCTTTTTTCCCTCATCTTTGGTTGCTAAGAATATAAACAAATGCAGGTAGTTAATATTTAGCTTTGCTTGGTATTTATCTTAGCAAGCAGAGTACTGCATTTGGATTCATTCTGAGGTTTTGCAGATCTGCAGTCATGTTTCCAGTTCTGTTTAGCTTATGCTTGGTTGGAATAACCCACGTTGCTCTTGCGGATAACGGTAAGTGTCTTTGAATTTGTTTTAACAAGATAGAAACATTATATTTTTTGGAAACTGATTGGTATATTGTGGCATGAGATTTTTGTAGATCTCTCCCCCCCACCAACCCATTTTCTTAAATGGTGTCTCTGCATGTTAATTTGCATGTATGTATTTACGCTCCTTTTATGAAATCAAAAGTATTGACCATATCTAGAGTCCTATTCACAAATTCTGTTACAGAGATAGTAAAAACTGCTTCCTTCCACTTGCCTCCTGAATATTTCCAAAACATGCGAAATGGGATTTTTCATCTTTGTAAATTGCTCCTACAAATCCACCTCCAGGGATGCTATCTCACTAAATGACACTAAAATGTTGCTAGAAATGATCCGATCAACCATCTGAAAGCTAAACTAAGTGGCATATCAATGCAGCTCCTTCTTTTTATATTGTTTCCTAAATAGCTCAGTGATCCAGATAGGGAACGTGGCACAAAACTGTCTCCTTTCCCCTTTTCTCACTGGTGATGTCCCCAAATCATCTCCTTCTCACGTTAGTAAGTCAGAAGCAATTTTTTTTTTTTTTTTTTGCTGGGGAACCGAGTGAGACCATTTTTATCCCCATTCTGTATCTGTGCCTGTACAAAATACAGGCACAGTATGTTGAACGTAGGGAAATATTTGTGTGTCTTTCACATCTCTAGTTTAACTCTAAGCCTTAGCTTAGGACCTGTTTTAACATTAAATGAAATCTTCAAAATGAGTTAACAGCTTAAATAAAATAAAGGAGAATACTTACAACTCAGGGTTGGAATGAGGGATCCTTGTTGCTTTCTGAGCTTGGTTGTTTTCTTGAAGACTTTCATTACCCAAACTAGGTAACATCATCAATGCTTGTCAGATTAGCACTGATATTACCTAATTTAGGTAATGGTTAAATAAAAGATTAAATTTAATCTAAGTTTTAATTTTTTATTAACTGTTTACTTGCTTTTTTTAAAGTAAAAATATCATCTCCCTCATCAGAGAAGAAAGGCAAGTTGTCAGCTGAAGAAATAAAAACATAAAATATACCCCAAGTATGCTTATGATTAATGCTATATTATATTACTGTTATATATCTCAAATATTCTGGCTGATAGCTCTCCTGTTATTAATAAGCAAGGCTGCAATTGCTTGCAATTTTACAGTGAATTTTCAGCTAGGGACTTTGTGAATTGTACTGTAGGATTTAATTACCAAGCCAAGTTGTTTCATCTAAATTTGTGAACTCATGCTTCAAGCACAGCAGGAATGAAGGATCTTGGCAAGGGGGAGCAATGTGAAAGTATTCAGAAGGCAAACATTGTGGTTAAGGTGATATGCATAAGTGGAAAGATGTAGAAAACACAATTGTGCAAGACCAGGATTTTTTCCCCCCACACCCTCCCAAGGGAAGGAGAACCAGGAAAAAACAGCTAAGCCAACCAAACATAATAATAATAAAAAAATGCAAAACCTATATTAAACAAATGGAAATTATTATAAAAATTAAACATAATGCTTTCAAAACATTGGTTTGGGGAAAAAAATCAAATTATCAGCAAATTTTGACAGGACATCTCTTTTCCAAATTTTGCCACAAATTATACTACCAAATTCCATGGGTAACTTTGAGAAATGGAGTTGGCAAGGCAGGAACATTTGGCAAGACAATTTCTCCAAATTGAGTGAAAAATGCTGGCAGCATTTTTCCAAACTACCTCCCATCTTCTTAAAGAGAATGGCAACATATCTGTTGATTAGGACAGTCAGAACTACAAAAGTGGCTAGAATTTAAAGCCCGTAATATAGATCTATATATATCTATATATTGCAAAATGCGCCATAAGAAAAATAAAAAAAAATAGAAAGGAGCTTCCAATCTTCTTTGCAAAATATACAATTATACAATTATCTCTTATTCTGTAGCTACAAAAAGGCTCTCTTTTTTTCTACTATACTATTACTGCAAATCAAAAGTTCATTTTTTAAATATTTCAAGCAAAACGCCTATAATGGGTTTCCAATCGGCAATAAATTTAGATGTCTTTTCTCTAATCAAAGAAGTCAGTCTAGCCATTTCTCCAAGTTTCATCTTTTCACCAATCATTCCTTCATTGTGGGTAATGCAGAATCTTTTTATTTTTCAATCATAAGCTTGTTACAGTTATCATATATGGAAAAAAATGTTATTGATCAGTCCTGAAGGAAAAGCTCTGCTTTTAATTGCATATTAATCTTTAATATCTTCTGAATCAATGCATATGAGTTCATTCTTGTTCGCAATTCAAATTTCCATCTAGGTAAGTCAATATTACACCAGATGAGGAGAGAGAGAAGGGGGGGAGGGAGGCAGAGAGGGAAAGGGAGAGAGAGAGAGAGCTTTAATAAGGTCTGAAAAGAATCCCTTCATTTTTATGCCATTGTTATATCCACTATGATTTTCGGCAACACTGTCCCAGCAATTAAACTTAACCTAGATGAATCCTGCAAGGTAGAAACCTTGTTACTTAATGGCTACAATAGAAGGCTTGAAGTCAGTGGTGTTATTTAAGAAGGCAAATCAAGGATAGTGAATACTTGACATATTACACAGCAAGGCAAATTTAGACATTTGGGATATGGCTTCTAGAAAAAAAAAGTTCTGAGACCAATTAAAATTAACAGATGAAGGTACTTAATAGCAATAGCACTTATATATCGCTTTACAGTGCTTTACAGCCCTCTCTAAGCAGTTTTACAGAGTCAGCCTATTGTCCCCCAACAATCTGCGTCCTCATTCTATCCACCTCAGAAGGACGGAAGGCTGAGTCAACCTTGAGCCTGGTGAGATTCGAACTGCCAAATTGCAGTCAGCCGGCACTCAGCAAAAGTAGCCTGCAGTACTGCACTCTAACCACTGCGCCACTGTGGCTTAAACACAAATTAGCAAGAATCATTATTCGGTATAAATATCTAAATTCTGTATAGTGGTTGGGGACTCAAATGGAAGAGAAGGAGAGAATATGTCACTAGAAAGTTTTCCACAGTACTTTTTGTTCATAGTTGTTTCTGTTTGTTCTATCTTATCTTTCTTTCCTTTTGTGTTTCATTATTTTATATCTTATTCTTTAAAAAAGAAAGCAAATGAAGAATGATGGAGCTTGATCCCACTCTTCCAAACTCTGATATACGGTTGTTGTCTAAAGAATTTATCTTGCTGGGCTTTGATGATTAGATTGACTTTGTTGTTATAGAAATGGTTTGAATTAACTAGAAATGTAAGGTTGTGGGTGTAAATTTTCCTGTGTTGTACTGCATTTGGGGGAAAAAAATCAGAAGTCACTGCTCCCCCCCCCACTTTATCTTGGTGCTTTTTCTTTTTCTTTCTTTTGTCTCTATTTGTATTTTATCATATACTAAATATTTTTTTAAAATAAAGAATTTATGTTGCATTTACCGTATTTTTCTGTGTATAAGACGCACCTTTTTACCCCAAAAAAGGGGGTGAAAATCTGGGTGCGTCTTATATGCCGAATGTAGCCCCGCCCGCCCACCGCCCCCACCCTTCGGCCATTTTCGGCCAGTTCCAGGTGGCAGGGATCTGGGTCAGGGCACAGCCTGAGGAACAACCGTCCCTCTTCGGGACGGGGGGGGGGGGGGGGAAATCTGCCCAGCAGTTTTGGGGAATAAGGCGGGTGCCACGATTTGCAGCTGGTCACCCCTCTGGCCGTGCTGACTTCACTCCCCAGCAATGTGAGGAGCCGCTGCCACCACTGCCTAACACTCTCTGCACCCAGGAGCCAAGCTGAACTGAATGGGAGCCCCTAAAGGGAAACGTTCCTCCTTTCCAGCCATCGCTGCCCGGATTCCAAAATGCAAACCTCAAGAGTCACGCTTCAGGTGGCGGCCAGTTCCCCTGCAATGTGCAGCGGGGAACTGGGAAGTGCTTTGGATTCGGGGAGGAGATTGTAGCGCTGATGCCTAAAAGTGTTTTTCTGCACATTGCAGAGCCGCGTGCTCCTGTCCTCCTTCTCAGCAGACTCTTCTCTTTCCTCCTGGCCAGATCCGCCACCTGAAACACGGTACACTTTTTTTTGTCTCTGCACACACCCCATGTTTGGAATTGCAGGGGAACTGGCTGCCACCTGAAGCGCGACTCTTGAGGTTTGCATTTTGGAATCCGGGCAGCGATGGCTGGAAAGGAGGAACGTTTCCCTTTAGGGGCTCCCATTCAGTTCAGCTTGGCTCCTGGGTGCAGAGAGTGTTAGGCAGTGGCGGCAGCGGCTCCTCACATTGCTGGGGAGTGAAGTCAGCACGGCCAGAGGGGTGACCAGCTGCAAATCGTGGCACCCGCCTTATTCCCCAAAACTGCTGGGCAGATTCCCCCCCCCCATCCCGAAGAGGGAGGGTTGTTCCTCAGGCTGTGCTCTGTCCCTCCCCCTACAGCATGCTAGGGGTCTCTTTGGGGGAAAGCAAGTAGTCCCTGCACCTCTCACTTGCAGGAGGAAGAGGAGGGCGGCGCCAACTTAAATGCTGGTAGGCAGAGGTAAAATACTTTTTTCTTTGTTTTCTTCCCCCAAAATTAAGGTGCGTCTTATATTCCGGTGCGTCTTATACACCGAAAAATACGGTATGTATCTTTTGGTCTCATCTGTGAAAACAGACAATATATTCATTAATATTAATATTGAAATGAGATGGGCAGAAAATAAATTTGAATAAATAAGCAAGCAACCAACCAACCAAATAAATAAATAAAAATATTATGGTTTCAGGGCCATGCAAGACTACTGTTCATGTACCAACATATCTTTTCATACATGACTTGTTAGTGTTTGGTGTCTTATAGTTTGTCCTAGGCCTCCTGAAGTACCTCTGGCTACCATCAATGTAAATAAAGAAGCATACAGACCTGGAGAAGGCATTGTATATCAATGTAATCCAGGTTATATTTACAAGTCTGGCACACGGAGATACATATGTCCTTCATCTGGTACATGGCCTACCATTACATTC